TTGGTATATATTTTTGTGATAGCATTAGAAGGTTTCATAGAAGTTGAACGAGTAATTTCATTATTTAATGAAGATATCACACTTGGTAACCTCGTAACCAATTCACGAGATCTCTCACCTGAATTAAAGACAGTAGATATTTCCTTTGCGTATTGATATCCAAATAACCGCTCAGCAAGTGCTTGATTAAATCCTTCAAGGATTACCTCATCACGATAAATTTCATTATGTCCTCGTCTGCTTTTAACGTTATTTTTTTTCATCAACGATAATACTGCGCCAAGAAATTATTTACCATGATCAACCTGTAATAGCTGTGGTCATTTTAGACCACCACGTTGATAAATTCGTTCAAGCGCAGTTCACTTCAGATGCTGTCTTTGTTGATAATGGTTCAGCTTCCTTTGTTGATAATGGTTCAGCTTCTTTATATCTCCTTGCAACTTCAACGACAGTCAATGCGTACTTGTACGTGCGTGATTTTCATCCACGTGTTTTAATAGCATCATGAAGGTATGAGGTAAAAACGAAATATCTGTTTGATGAACTTCATTAGGGATGCTGACATAAAACTGCGTATTGAATTGTTTTAGGTGGTAGTAGATAAATGTTGTCATAATACCTGTCGTGCTAACCAATTTGCAACAACAGAATGTGAGACTTTTGCTGCTTCAGTTAGTTTAGTTATCGCTGCTTTGCCTCTCCAATATCCTCTTGGGTTATAATAAAAAGATTCCATTATAATAGTTATATAATTAATTACCAGCCCCTATCACTATTTTAACTTTCATAGCAGATTTTACTAGAGTTGTTCTCTGCGCGATTTATTAGGTATAGCATTTATCGAATGAATCAATTTCACATCTTACTTTTGTAAGCAACATTATGAACATGACATGCTTGATCAATCTTTTTTTATTATCCCCGTAATAGGGTGACCATTGGGTCGGAGAACCATCCCAAGGTCACCTTACAATCAAATATTTCTTGATTCCAGATAAGCTAGGGCTAGTAAATATAATGTATATTAAAAGAAAACGAAAAAAAGACAAAACACACACACAAACACTCATGCACACATGGATCATCTGAATCTGCCATGCACACAATCTCTTTAGATAGCCTACTCAATGTAACTAGACAAATACATGTAGGTGACACAGGATTTTGAAAATAGTGTTTTGCTCCTATTTACCATCCATTCAGATACAAATTACCTATTCATCTGTTGATGTCCATTTTTAAGAAATTGGTCCTCTTTTTGTTTACCTTAGCAGCATATTTTTCAACATTCTTATACATTACAACTATCTGCTTAAAAGCATAAATGAAAAGATTTTTCATATTGAATCTGCAAGTGTAAATGTAATATTGTGCCAAAAAAAGCAAGAAATTACACGAACTGTCCATTTGTTCACTTTGTAAAAGTGTTTCTTTTTTTAAACAAATGTACAATATTTGGGCAAGAAGGTGCAAAGTGTTCAATGAAACTGTACCAGAACTGTGAAGTAATATTGCAATCATAGAAGAAATGTTCAATACTTTCATTCTCTCTTTTACAACATCTACATTTTTTGTCGTCCATTAAGTTATTTCTTTTCAAAAAAATCATTAGTAGCGATTATTATGTGGATTAATTTAAAGTTGAAAGAGATCAATCTTTTGTATTTGATGTTCTCCAGGTCTTGGTTGACTTGTAAGATATCAAGTCGAGTTCCCGGACGACAATAATTTTATCCATGAATGTGTTTCTCACAGACGTATTTAGCCCAATGAACTCCCTGCATGGTCCTTAATGAAGCGGCGATATCTCCACCTATATTTGTCCCTGACTTAGTCAGGGAGATAAATTTATATTTTTGTATGCCACATTTTACACATTTACCTGATTTAGGGAGATAAATTTATATTTTTGTATGCCACATTTTACACATTTACCTGACTTAGGGAGATGAATTTATATTTTTGTATGCCACATTTTATACTTTTACCTGTTAATGCACGTCGTTTAATTTTGTTGTTTTTGTTGTTAATCCTGTGGTGATTGTGGGTAGACTACATTTACTATGAATTTGTATTTGATGTTCTCCAGGTCTAGGTTGACTTGATCATCAAGTAAGATATCAAGTCGAGTTCTAGGACGACAATAATTTTATTCATGAATGTGTTTCTTACCGGCGTATTTTGCCCAATGAACTCCCGGCAATGTCCTTAATGAAGCGGCGATATCTCCACCGATCTTTGTCCCTGACTTAGTCAGGGAGATAAATTTATATTTTTGTGTGCCACATTTTACACATTTACCTGTTAATACACGTCGTTTATTTTTTGTTGTTATTGTTGTTAATCCTGTGGTGATTGTGGGTACCCTACATATATATATATATATATATATATATATATATATATATATATATATATATATATATATATATATATATATATATATATATATATATATATATATAATTGACTTCTCAAATTCTATAAGGATGATTGTAATAGGTCCATCTTGATCCGATAAAACACAACTATTATTAAATTTGATAATGAGATGGTTGAGATGTTGAGATGGAGAAAACTGTATTTAGTAGCACCCACTGCAGATGATCAACTGTTACAATGAACTCATGGATTTTAATGAGCAAGTAAAATCAATTAATGAAGAAGGTGACGATAATGATATTATTGATTTTATCACAGATATTAATGAAGCACCGTCAATCGATGACCTAAATAGATTTACTAATAATTTAGCAGTATATGACGACGTGATGATGGATAAACATATCCAAGATTTTTTTTCCAAAGGTATACACAAAAATACAGACGTTTTATACGTCACTCAACGATATACACATATACCCAAGATAATCAGAGACAACTGCAATATTTTAGTTGTATTTAACGGAAAAGATAAATGCACAGAGAAAAATCTATTACAATGGGTCCGATTAAATTTTAAAAACTTCTTTGATCAAGCACAAGCTATTCCATTTGGATTTATAATGTTAAATTTGCACGATCCAGCATCCAGGTATTGAATAGGTCTAGATTTAAAAAAAAAAAAACAATTTGAAGAAAAAAAATACGCCAACAATGGGATAGCAAAACTGAGCTATCTAAAACGATTTATTATCCGTTTTCAACCATATGGAAACAAATGTAGAGACTATATAGTAAAATTAATTGTGTTCTATGGCCAATTTGTGTCCCTATGCCAAGATAATGTTCCGATTGCCCACTGTGTAATCACTGACTACACTGAGGCCCTGTTCTTTTGTACCCATCTAAATAGTATTGAAATAATGTCCGGGAACCAGTTTATTTGTAAGGCAAGATAAACAATATATCAGAATCAAACCGAAATCGCAAGTTTAAAGACTTAACAGTATTTTTGGGGTTAAATATTGAATAAACTTAAAAACTATTTAGATTTTGCCACAAAATTTAAATAAAATCAGCTAGATTGCATCACCAAAATATTATTTTCTACCACTCTTGCCACTACAGGTGATTACGACATAACGCGGGAAAAATAGACGCGTGCCAAACAACAATAATAGACTATAACAGTTCATTTTTCATAAGTTTCTATTCACAGCAAAAGGTATGACCAGTTGTTTTTATTAAACTAGACCTCGTTTTTTTTTAGGTTCAGAATTACAATTAGGAATGGTGGTAGTTGAAAATATTTTTTACATTCATATAATGTTAAACAAGATCGAAAATTTATTTACCGATTGTGTACTTCTATACATAGCTCGACCATAAGTTACTAATTCTGAACCAACAGTTGCTTTCGTGAAAATTTTGGGATCGCTAACGAGTACACTAATTTAAAAATACAGCTATTAGTGTCACTGTTTCCAATTATGACCTTACATCTTGTTCGTAGTCCGAGTTTTCTTTCACCCTTGCCACCCCATTTTTTATTTTTGGATATTTATGCTGAGTCCTTACACCCCAGCATGAAGTCAAGTGATCAAAATTGGGATGGTAAGAATCAGAGGAAACTCGGACTAACCATGTTCTCAGATAGAATCTATATCTTTTTAAAAATCACTATCACTTAATAAATCGGTTTACTATTTGGAACATGGAGAATTGTCAGAGGCTGACATGTACTTTCATGCTCATGTTTTTGATTGAGACCAACGAGTAGATCTCTGCTTTTTTCTGACATGACTGGTAGTGGAGACCAGCCAGGTTAAGCTATATTTCATACAGAAGTTTTCACCCTCAAATCCTTTCTAACAATCTGACACTCACTACTAATTAATAAATTTATTTTGATTGACCTTGGTATGCAGATGGTAAGATAAGTCCTCTTTAGACCCATGGCATTAAATCCTTCAGAATGCTCACTTTTTTAGTATTAATCCCTGTCAGAATAGAACCCTTGTGTATACATGACCATTTTTAAAATTTCCCCAAGGCAAGATCAAACACTTGAAAATATTCTAATGAGGACTATATCTCTAGGAACTAACTAATGCATGGGATGGAGCTGTGATTAGGTCAGGCCATCAGATAGACAAATGTCATGTCGGAAATTAGAGATAGAGATAATGATAAACAAATTATAAAGAATGGGTTGGCATCAGTTTTCAGGAAAAGCTTAACATAAAGTTGAATGGTCTACCATTTTATGACCAATTGATACATGGCATTTGTTTTCTGCCAAGAGCAACAGAAAGAGATGCTCATCCCATCATATTTTTGCTATGGCCTCTTAAGTATTTTAATTGCTCATTGTACTAAAATTTGTCTTTGCATTATATATGCAGAGCCCTAGAAAGCAATTACAGACTCTGGGATAAGAAACACTCAGGTCTCTTCTAGTTCTTGTTCAACCAAAATTGTTCTTTCATAAAATTAAAAAAGTGTTATTCAGCCCAGGCACCAGGTAGAATTATTTATCGAGATTAATATTCACTGGAAATACAAAGTGCTCATCAGTAATATTATTGGACAGAAACATCAATTTGGAATAGACCAATTCAGTGGCCTAGTTGATAGAGCATCCGCCTTGGATGCAGGAGGTTGTGGGTTCGATCCCCGGTTGAGTCATACCAAAGACTTACAAAAATGGTACTAACAGCTACCTCGCTTGGCGCTCAGCATTAAGAGGACTGGTTGGCCTTGTGTCAGGATAATGTGACTGGGTGGGACATCATGCTACATGTCTGCGGCATGATGCCCCAGTGCTAGAACTGAGCCTTACAGATTTACTATAGGTACTATGTCAGCCTATCAATGTCAACTTTTGATTCCAAACATTCCAAAATATATGCATATTTGTTCATGTCAGCTATGTAACCATGTTACTATCAGTTGTAGAAAGTTAAATTCAAATAATCTGTTTGAATATTTCTTATGTTATCTTAAAAGTGTCAGATTAACAAATATTTTTAGTAATTAAAAATGCATAAAGCAAAATGGATCATGAGAATTCCCATAATATCATCTGGGCCACAATGCCACACTATATCAATCAACTTAAAGAAACTGAACAATAAAATGGAATGATTCTGTGTTCAACTTACATCATTTTGCTGTTTTCTTACATGCAATGGTAAATATACCTGTGTAAAGTATATTTTACCCCTCAGACCTGTATTTCATTCTCTGACAGCTTAATATGATTTTGTAGAGAACTTGAGCAGTTTCTAGTATAAAGTCTTCATCTCTGTCCTCTCACTAAATACCCTATAACTATGTTTATAAACAATTACTGATAGCTATACAAGCAGATATGTTACTCAGGAAGTCATCCCATCATAAACACATAGATTAACTGTTTTGACCCCAAATAAATAGTTTCAGTGACCTAAGCAAAGCAAAATAGAATTTTGTCTTCATGTATTTTAAATAAGGGTCTCATTTTGACTAACAAAAATATTTTCTCTGATAAAATATGACAAATATCCATCATTTGAGCTTGTATATGGTGTAGGAATATATACATGCTGATATCATTTAATATCATTACCCAATAAATATTATACATGTGTATACTTGGTGGAAAAATTGTATTTTTTAAGTTTTTTTTAAATTTCATTTAAATTTTTAAAAATAAATTTTGTTTTATTTTTGATTTCATTTTTATATTTTTAAAGTTAATATACATAACATTAAAATTTCAGGTGTATGTCATTAATAATAAAGATTTTATATCAGTTTAAACGTTACTCACATGCAGTACTGACAGGCCATAGAACACAATTTTACTATATGGTCTCTACATTTGTTTCTCAGTACTTAACTTTCTACTGTGTGACAATCAATACAAATCATATGTTAATCTAAAATACCGTCAAAGATGACTTTTTACGGTGAAGTTCTTGTCAAGGGTTGACCTGCATTTTTTTGAGAGGCTGAATTGTAAACAAAACACCATGCAAAGGAACACAGATTTCACTTCCAGATCATCACCATGACCTTATTACTCAATGTGCACTGTCGCCGAAATACATACAGACAACCACACCATAAGTTCACATTCTAAATAATAAACAATTGCCTTTAAATCTTTACCAAGAATACCAAAATCTAACTCTTGTATCACCACCAAACGGAGACAGGAAAAAAGTGATTTAAAAATAGACTGCAACTACATTTGTGGGTACTGAACCAGATTTTATTAATTGTGTACTGATGCCATATACTGGGGCTATAAAAGGTTCTGAGTTATGAAATAGAGCATAGACCCCAGAGACAGTGAGACTTAGGTGACAATACCAGTAATATAAATGACTTGTCCTTTTTAAGTAGGATTTTAATAGAGAATGTAACAACTATTTGCCTCAAGCAATTCTTTTGCCTTGGCTGTTTCAGTGCATATGTTGTTTTGACATAAGTCAGTTACCCAGGTGTGAGTTAACAAGCCCATTTCAGCATCTTGTTAGCTATAAGCCAAAATGCTGGAATCTGAAAAATTAAACCAATACATTTCAAAATTAGCACAATTATTTTTGTCAGAAACAATTGTAGATAAACTGGTCATAAACCAGAACAGGTCTGATGTCTGTGTCTTGCAGCATCTGTCCATCCATTAGCACAATTTACTTATCACTACTCTACCTGAACTACTTAAAGAATTACCATGACACGCATTCATCTCAAGGTATGATTGTGCCTAAATGGAAATGGTGCTTTTAATACATTCAGTATGGCTGTCACTGCAGCCATCCTGAAAATCTTGTTATCACTACTCAAGAAGAATGGATGGTCATATCAAAACTTAAATACTTCTTATGAAGTTGATCTTAATAAAATTTTATGTCTAATATTGGCGACACTGCAGCCATCTTGAAAATCTTGCTACAAGGTTTTCATCAGAAAACTAATTAGGTAAATGAGAAGGATTCTTATCCAACTTCCAGTATCCCCCACTGCAGCCATCTTGAAAGTCTTATTATTCTGAATAAATGTCTGTATTAGCTTCGGTATCTGACTTAGAGTCTTCTGATGACATCTAGTTAATCATAGATTAATCTGGTGCCTATCTGACCTCCAATATGGCCATCTGACCTCCATTACAATAGTCATCAATAAAATCTTTTCACTAAATTGACTAGATGGCTGATCATATTGACATTGACAAAAGATTTGTTGTGATAACTAATTGGTCCCATATGGAAAACATCTTATTCATTGTGAAACGTTATATCAGTATGGGATTGTCACCAGAAGATGGCAACTGTCTGATATCCAAATATGGACATCTTGAAAGTCCTGTTGCCATTATTCATTCTAAATGGATGGTCATATTTACATAGGGTTTTAAACCTGAGGACAAATGGCGATATCTTTTTTGGCCAAAAATGATACAGTGCCAATTTGATGTCCGATAAGACATCACAGCAGCTGAGCTTTTTTTTTCTATCACTGAAGAATATCATAGATTTTCAACACCCAGTAGTTAAAAGAAAGTTAAAATTCTTTTCAGCCAGTGAAGTGTCACTCTCTTCAAGGTACTCTTGTTTCATGTAAGCAGTACAGGTTGGTTGGAACTTATCCTGAGATGTATACAGATCGGAAATACACACACACACAAACCTACTATTTTGAATCCCATGTATAGTAGTACTAATCTATTGTGTTAAATTGTTACCCTACTTCCAGATTTAGCAGAATGAGTGCTTCAGGTAAAACTAAAAGAAAAAAGGATTCCTCAGAAACTAAACTAAAATGGGAACAATTGCAGATCTACCATCATGTTCCTGAGACAGAGCTACAAATCCTAGTTATGGCGGCTGCAGAATTGGAGGGGTATGCTGACCTGAAAGATTATCTGCAGGTACAAGTTAGTTATTCTTAGAACTACTTTTGTGTAAATGCATTTTCAGTATTGCATCAGTTTATTCCTTGTATGTGGGGATATAACACCTAGTCAGATCAATTGAGTAATTATAAACTGTTTTGTGTCTTTTGATTATCATGACATAGATATCATGTTTCCAGTATTGCAGCCATATCAGTGCCAAGGTTGTATCAGCATCGACAGCCCAAACAATGTAGAGGTTCTGTCATTATTGACAGCTTCAGTGGTGTTAAAGTTCCATCATCATCAACAGTCTCAGAGATTGTAAGGTTCCATCAGTATTGACAGACATGGTTTTGAGGTTCCATCAGCACTGACAGACATGGTTTTGAGGTTCCATCAGCACTGACAGACATGGTTTTGAGGTTCCATCAGCACTGACAGACATGGTTTTGAGGTTCCATCAGCACTGACAGACATGGTTTTGAGGTTCCATCAGCACTGACAGACATGGTTTTGAGGTTCCATCAGTATTGACAGCCTTGATGATGTTGAGCTTTTGTTAACGCCAACAGCCTTCACAATGTTGAGGTTCCTTCAGCATCATTAGTCTCCACAATGTTAAGGTTCCATCAGCATTGAAAACCTAAAATATTGTTGAATTATGATGTTTACATTTTGTATACATTTCTCATCATACAGAATAAGCCTTCCATTTATTCAAGCTTTTGGTTCAAAATTATTTATTTATTTGGACTTCTATCGATTCATAAACATGTGGTATGCATTATTGTTTGTTTTTTTTTTTGGCAGATATTTTTTAATCACTTTTCTCCAGTCAGCCCATCTTGCCCCAACCTAGACTCAATTATAGCAATCTTAATGAAAGAGACTCTTAGTTAAACATCCATCCATATAACCAAGCCAGCAGTTACACATGCACATGGGTGAGAGTTTTCCATGATATGACAGAAAATCTATCTTCAGAACGTCCTCACATGTCAATCTTCCAAATCATGCAATTCCATCAAATTATTGGAGGGTGTTTAGTAACCAAAAAACAATGATTATGGATACTAAATTTTAAACTTAATGATTTGCTGTTCAGTGAGTCAACATGTTTTTATGCAGTATTCAGTTCACTTCAGGCTCCTCAAATGTGTTCTGCTGAATCACAAATTTCATACTTCATTCCATAATTCAGTGCCTTCTACAGAAACCCAAATAACTCTTTTATTTTATTCCATTGTTATTTGATTCATTCATTTGCCTCATAAGAATGATAGCATACTGAGTCATTCTGCCATTGTTTTCTCTATCCCCACAACACACACACTATTCTTCATAGAACATTTTTTTTTTAAAAAAATAATTTGTTGCGTTATCTTGGCTTGGTATTCATTGGTCAGGATGATTGGAATTTTGCATAATAAATTCACAGACAATAACTGCATTTTTTTTTCTTTCCATTTCAATATTGTACAAATATATAAATGGTTAAAAGAACAGCACACTCCTTTTTCCCCCAAGTTGAAACCTCAAAGCATAACCATCTACTTGTCCCAACTTCTGGTCCTTTATGGAGGAAACGTGTCTATTTTAGCAGCTCTATACAATTATTGTATATATGCTTTCTGACCTATATGTCAAGAACAGGTGAATGACTTTGAAATATAAAAGGTAGTCAACATACAAAAGCATTGCATGCAAACAGATTTAAGAGAGTAAATATTATTCATTGATTAAGTGAATGAAAATGAAATTTTTAAGATCAGTCTTTTAGAATGTGGTTATTTGTTAATAC